TTCAAATAATATTTAGTATGAACTTTATGTTTTGCTATACTGACGAGTAGCTCGATGACTAATATATACTACTTGGATAAGAGCTGCGGGCCGCTATCGTTGTTGTTAAGCAATTTTCGCAAGGGTCGGTCAATGGATGGGAACCCAAAAAAAATAGTTTCAATTTCAAGCTTCTCCATGATTCGGAAGACATGTTATGCCATTGTTCCGGCTGCATTTGCTATCGTTAATGCCCTCCAATCCGTGTTGAACCAACGTGGAGGGTCATGGCCCATCCTCTTTAACCAGGCCATCCTCTTTGTGTGGACATTAGATTTGTGTTTTTCTTTAAATCTGTTTTTCAAAACGGATAAATAGTTTTAGTTTCAGACTTAAGTTACTGTAATATTTTAATATTGGACATTAGTTGGTTAATTACATGTATAGCTGATGCTGTACCTTTAATAAATACCTCTACCTTTTTGTTGTGGTGTCTTCAAAGTTGAACATCAAAGTAATTTTATTCGAATGACGCGGATATTTTTCTATTAATAAAATTAATAAGTGTGTTAACCAGTTCCCTGGTTACAGCTGCACTCTCGAAAAACTTTGTTTTCTATCATATGGTTAGCCGCCTAATTGGACGGATCTTTTATTCAGTTGCCTATGACATATCCATTATATATGTATTAACAGTTTTAACTTTTAATTTCAATTTTAACAGCTGTGAATTTAAAAGTCGACCATGCAATCGTGACTTATATTGTTTTTAGTTTATTTGTATCGTTAACTGCCTGGTAATCTATTATTATAATATATGATGATGTAATGAGCGACAAGGAGAATCGCTTAATTTTTGCATATTGACATTGTACACGCCAAAGTAGGTCTGTGTATGTATATGTCAGTTACGCTCTCACGCCTAACCCACTAAACAGAGTTGACTTGAGATAGGCCATAAGTTGCTATTATTGTGATTAATAAATTTAATGGAAGTTCGTCACTGTCAAAGATAAAATCATGAAACTTTCTCTAAGGTATTTTACACGATATAATGAATAAATATTTTTTTTAGAAATGTTGCTCGAAGTAACTATACCACGCGGACGAAGACGCGCTCAAAATCTAGTATAAATATATTTGATTCCCGGGATTCTTGCTGACTTCGTCCGTAAAAGTAATGTCCGTGATTTGACATAAGTTTTAAAAATGCCCGCTATCGAAATAAAACAACGCTGATTTAATTACAGACAAGCTGTTTTCCTGCGGTTTCGTCGATCACGTATAGGGTTTTCAAGCGTCCTCTAAAATTAAATATTGAATTCTATGGCATGTAGACGTACTTTATATTCTATAACATTAGGACGCTAAAATATTCTTCTTTTACACAATGTTTCTTATACTTTTGTATAAGATACTATAGTACCAGTACCAAGAGTATACCCACAATGATGCATACCTATTTATCGTACCGAAAAAGAAACATATTTTTTAATGTGAAATAAATGATACTCTTTAATTATCTTTTTTGAAATGAGATACTTATCTTCTATTTCTTCTAATAAAACCCAAGAAATTGTAGGTGACTAGCAGCCCTATCCGCTTTTAATGTAGCTTCTCGTAGATAAAAGAATTTTTAAAATCGGCCTAGGAGTTTCGGGGCCCATTCAAAGCAAACAAACTGTGAAATCTTTCTTAATTATAATATTAGTAAAGAAAGACACCACTCTAGTAAAGCAACTTAGAGCTTAGAGTGCTAGAGTTCTGGTCGTAGGGACAAAATCAATATATACGGAAATATTTCCATTCAGAACGTGCAAAATTTAGCGGAATTGAACACAAGGCTACCACCCACCACAACCAATATGAATAAAAAGGGCTAGACTACTATGTATATTAGGTGTTACCGTGACGTAATGTGGAGCGGTGAATGTAGCAGAAAGCAAAAGTGGGCGAGCTACCACGAACTATGCAGCCTTGCGTTGCGCCTACGCACTCCTGGATCCTGTCGGTTGTAACCACATCTGGTCAGTTAATTTTATTCTAATAGAAGAAGATCAAGAGAAACTTATTATTTATGTTATATATTTTTATTAATAGGCATAAATGTAATATACAGTATTTTTTTTTATTGATATAGTTAACGTGGAAAGTATGGAAATACAGAAAGTTGAGTATTACAATAGTGGTGTAGTATTTCGGGAGCTGGGTGTGGAGTGCTCCCTGCTGGATCCTAGGCCCTTCTCCCAAAAAAGAGTGCATTGAGGGCGTTTAGGGTGTATGCCATCCGCACGGCTAGTGGCTGCGTGGACAATGCATAATACATTCCCATACGATAAAAACATTTTTCCTTGTCTGAAATCTTATTTTTTTTCAGATAAATTTAAATATAAGCTTTCTGTGTCTCACTGGTTTACTATAATTTAGTCACATTTGTTTTACAGTTATTCTTTTTATTAAAATTATTATTTTCTACTAAAAAAAACGCATCAAAGTAGAAAGATCCAACTTTTATATCTCAAAAGGAGAGTAGCTTCCGTTTCTGTTGTTGATTTTTTATACCAGCTTTCAACTTTTATTACACACTTTTTGTTTTATTTCTCGAGATTTATTTTTATTTTGAATTAAATCATTCCAATATTGTTTCCAAAAGACAGTAGAAGTCATAAAATTTATTTTATACACATATCAAATTATAGAGCTTGTTCTGAAAATCTTCTTCCCTAATTTTATATTAATCTACACTTTAAATTAATCTAATATTTTAAATTATTTTTCACAAAATTTTAATTAATTTTCACAATGCGCTATATCACCCTCTTACAAAAACAAGGGAGATTTAACGCATTGTGAAAATTATAGGGGCATAAAATTAGCAGCCCACACGCTTTAATCTGGAAGAGAATACTAAACAAGCTTAATTATCTCAGATATTACCGATATATAGTCAAATTAATTTGGATTTACAGCATTGCGATCAACCATTAACGCCATACAATCGATACGAATACTGATGGAAAATTCAGAATACACAAAAAAGACCTACACCTTACATTCTTAGGCTTGGATAAAACATTCGGATCGAGTGTCTCGCAAATTGGTTTGAGACTAGGTTTGCCATATTTTTTTCGGCATGTAGGAGACAAATGCTTAAATGTGCAAAAAATACGGGATATTTTTTTATCCAGAATTAATAAAAAATAACAAAATACTTACTTTTAATTTTTTTTTTCAGAGAATCACACAATGTTTTATTTTTGTTGGAATTGACGTAATAAAAAATGAATTAAAAATCATAGTTAAATATAATAATCATAATTTGGTTTTTATTAAGTTGAAAGTACATTTATTTCGTTCATCACTCCACTTTAACACCATTTGTGAAATCGCTTTGAGACATAGGCAGTCGGTCCAGTGAACTACGGAACATGTGGCAACAGTATTTGTCTTAGAACTCAATACGAGCCGGAATTCTACATCAAACTTATCAGCGATATGTACAATAATGTAAGCACAAAGGTACGAAGCTTAGGTGGGGTAAGCAAATATTTCGAGGTTAAAATAGGCGTCCATCAGGGCTCCTCCCTTAGTCTATTACCAAATTGAATAGGAGGGGGTCCTATTCAATATTGTAATAGACTATCATACTAAGTCGATACCGGCACCTTTGCCATGGACCCTATCATGCCGATGACATTGTCCTGGCTGCAGATACTGTGCAACAACTTCAATATTGCCTGAAACGTAGCACCTGAAGTCATATGCATTGGTAGCACACCTATACCAATAGTAAGTAAATTTAAATATCGTAGCTACCGCCGTATCCACCGAATCAATTATACGGGGCCCTTGGGCCACGGGGGCCCCCGACGTGCGTAAGCAAAAATTTATAAAAACTTCCTATATATTTTTATTATTTCATAAATGACAAAAGTTAAATAAAGCTATTTATTTTTCTCGCGTAAAGCGTGCGTTCAAAAGTCAAGGAGAGTGTAAATTTGAATCGTATGTAAAAAAATCGGAAAAGTGACAGATAGATAATTATGATGAATAAGTATTCCTTTTAATTTTATGCAAACATTTTTTTTTCTTTTTTTGAAAAGAACCCCCGAACAAATTTTTATACGGTACTCCGCCAAGGCACGCTATGTCACTGATGAAATTTTACCACTCCTCCCTGATCCTTCTTTTTTTCCGTATATGTGAGATTTACCGATTCAGGTAGGATTTATTTACACGAAATAATATGAAAATTCGGTATTTAAATAGAGACCAGGCCATAACGGATCGAACCTTAGTGGTTTACATGATGCAAGTAAACTAAATTATGTTAACCACAAAGTTTGTTGATAATTAAATAAAAAAAAAAAAAAAAAAAAAGTAAATAAAAATGTAGAGTTCATGCATGTTAGAAACATGCATGGAGTTGTAGTAAGCTATATCTATCCATTAGGTAAGTAGATGATGGTTTGAAAATTGCACATAGTTATATTTATACTAACGTAGATGACATTAAATAAAAAAGTATCATTTTTATACTAAAGTTCATTGTAACTTATCTTGTTGTTACCTTCTTCTTTTAACCTATTTGTATATGGTTCAAATTTTGTTTTCATTGACCAACTACTAGTTTTATGAATTAAACTTTGAATAAGTACATCTTGTGTTCCTAATTGAATCCTTAAACATATCTCAGAACCACTACAGTAATTGTCGGCAGAAACAACGGTGCTATTGTTATCGTGTTCCATAATATTTGCTCAGGTGTGTATTGTGCGAGGTGTATCTTGTAGTGGTACAAATGAATGAGCCACGGCGGTGATAGTGGTGTGCAGTGCGCATGTGTACTCGCGCTCGATAACCGCACTACGGGTCGCTCCGCACGTGTCCATGTGATCAGCCGGAGATTTTGGGGTTGCGAGATGAAGGAGGCTGTAAGGCGGGCCGCGCGCGTAGGCCGGCGCACGAGGGCCCAGCCAAGGAGCGGGGTGCGATGCGCGGCAACAACCAGCGCGACTCGCACACTCGCGCTTATCGCGGCGAGCGCCGGTCGTTTGTCACGTAACCTTCCCGCTCTCCATACGCAGCCTTAATCTCCCATCGGATTTATTATACACGATAGTGTTGTATATTATTGAGTGATGTGTGAAATTGGATTGGAGGTGTGTTGTGGAAACATTGTATTCGTATAAGTTTGAAAATAGAGTTTGGGGGAAAGTGTTTTTGGTATTGTTTGTGGTATCGTGGACGGAACCGGCGGCGGGCGGGCTGCTCGTAGTGGCGGGTCGGTGGATGGTGCGGCGCGGGCGGGCGCCGGGGCGCGGCCGGCGGCGCCGCTAGCAAAATGTCGATACCCCTGAGCCGGGACACTGTGCTCCCCACGCAGGTGAGTCCTGATCACCCCCGCGATTTACGCGACCCATGCAAACTAATGCCGTCAGTAGTTAGCATGGGTCGAGTAAATTTAAGAATTAATGGAATGATTACACTAAATATTTGAACTTGAAAACAAAAGGAAAATTATGGAGTCGTGACAAACATACATATTATATATATATTTTTAATACACAATTTATATTATGATTATTCAAAATTTCTATAAGAATTCGTCCTCGGTTGTTATCAATACGATAACTTTATAATATTGGGGAACAACTTTTTGATAAACAGTAGATATCGACCTGTGTATCTTGACTCACTAATCCTATTTCTAAGTAAGTAGCTCACCTTGGTTACGCGTGACAATAATAAAAATAGAATTATATTTACAAATTATAAAATATGTTTTTTGTAAAGAATTCCTGCAAAAATGTTAGGAAGTTTTTGGATATCATAAAATATTGAAAGAGTATTTTTATATACCTTCTATAAAATTACCAAGCAACTGTAATGTCTATTTGTTTTGTTGTGATATAGGACAACGAAACCAGAGTAATTTATGTAGGTACCCTACCTATAGTAAAGTAACAGGTACCTATTAGGTACTAAGATAACAATATTCAGCAAATAAACAAACTCACTTCGAATATCTTACCTACCTACTTGAGCATTATGACTTGTTTATCAGATTAAAAATTTATGAGTATAATATACTGAGTATAATATGAGTATAATATACTCATAAATGATATTAATAAAAATCATAACTAGTAAGTTTCTCATATCACTCTCTTGATATTATTTTTTTTGACATTCGCATTTATCATCTTTGTATATTTTGCATACACTTCATTTTGTCATAGGTAGGTAGGTAATATATATATAGGTATATGTTATCGTCAAAATTGACAAACCGAATTCGCCTAAATATTTATTTCGGGCTAGCATTCGCAGTATAAGTAATTAATTTAATCTAATAAACAGTAAACTTTGATTTTTTTTTACTTATAATCTTAAGAATATAAATTTATGTAAAAAAAGACAGAAAAGACTTTATTTATTTCATACGAATTTATGCCTGAAAGATTCCAAAAAAAAAACAGTCAACAAGTGTAAATGACATCTTTAATGAATAATAATTGAATCGAATTATATCTAAAATAAAACTGTAAATAATTAAAAAATTAAAGCTGCCTAAGTACTAGGTAATTAAAAACAACCGTTATAAGGAGTTGCTCTAACAAACGCAACTAGAACAAACGTTCGTCGGCAAAGGCTTTTGGTTCGGCGCGGAAAGTTCAAGGCTCTATTGATCCAACCGAGTGCAAGGTTGCTAAAGGCTATTTTAGCCTACTATATTCACATTTTTTGTAGGAAATACGCGTGACACACAAATTGTACGTTTCGCCTCTTTACTAACAGCAGCACTATTTAATTTTGATCCGGTTTTATTGCTTAAATTATTACGTTTAATGGAATTATAGTTTTGCCCTAAACAGTTTTGTCAACTCTCGATTCTTGCATTGTTTTTTGTAGAGATAATAAAATAACTGAAAATTACTAACACTTTAAAAAGACTACTAACACTTTATATTCTTCAGTTTTTGAAAATTCAGTCTAAATAAAATTTTTGTTAATGAAAGTTTGAAAGAAACATTTTTGTAAATTCAATGGTGAATCCACCAATAAAGTTTAGTTTAAAAATATAACATCTCGCTTGCATGAATAAATAGAGATCATTGTGTATCTGGCAAACAGTCATTTCAAAGTTATTTTAACCGAATTCTTATCTAAATGAGTATAGACGTCGCGTAAAAAGGTCACACCTCGGCTGTATGGCGGTTCAGTGTCCGTCTATTCGTTTCTTGCACTACTAGAATTACTGCTTAGTGACTCACGTGAGCTTCTGCGAATTGTTATCTGTGGGCGAAGTAAAGTTACCTTATATGCACCTACATGGGTCAACATTTCTTCACAAACTAGGACTCAATGGCGTTGGTAATAAAAACTTCTTTTATAATCTGTATTGAGCTTCACGCTTAAGTGTTAGTTTACGCTTTATCAGCCTGTAAGATTAGTTACAGATTCAGAACAATAGGTGGTGACTGTCGATAAGGATAACAGCTTTTGGTTCTAGGATGAATAGATGGGAAATCAGTGTGAAAAAGTTAAGAATTTGTCATGTTATATGAAAGAAAAATTACATTCTTTCCCTTTATTATATTTGATCAATTTCGCATTCATAATGCTATACTGAAAAATATATTTAATGATAACTGCTTAAAAAATTCACTTGGTCTTTGGTGCCCTGAGATTTCTTTACCTTAATTAATCCCCATTAGTAAAGAAGTATTTACCTATATCGATTATTTTGTGGGTGACGTTGGTGTACATTGATTTAATTGCAAAAAAGCTGACCCGAAATACGTTTTAAAGAAAAAAACAACATATTTAACAGGTAGAATTATGTAGAATTTGTGGATATTTTAATATAAATATAGAAAATTTAAACATTAACTTTAAATAACAATTAAAACATGTTTTTAGCAAGTGACGTTGACCCTAAAAATTGATCGGTTTTTAATTAGATTTATTATAAAAATACATGAACTATAACATTTTATACTTTTGAAACTATTACCTATACTAGTTTTTCCAGCATTTGTATTATCTGGTAACTTATAATGTTATAAAAATTTAAAAAAATAAACCGACTCGAAACAACTGGAAAAATGTGAACATATGTTTTTATATTTTTTTATATACTAAAATAATATAAGCTACCTAACATATAAAAAACGATATTAATATAACCAAAGCAAAGTAATATACGCGATTTTGATTTATATGAAATTTACCAACTGTTGATATAATTTCGATAAAGTTGTTTAAATAAATACAAAATAGTGAAAACCGCTCTACAATTCGCGGAAAAATCGATTGTACATAAAAATATACAAGTCGAATATAGAACCTCCTTATTTTTAATGTCGTTAAAGATCGTAAATTAAGTAAAAACAAAGAACCATTAAGCCATATCCTCTGAAATGTAACTAGTATTTGTATGTGCCAGCATTTACGAAAATAGTCATGTGAATTTAAGCTAATTAGAAATCAAGTGGTTTTAGTTAGTTTACTGTGACACTGACTGACCCACTGATGTTAATGCATTCAGTCAGGGTAGAGTTGAAATTCAATTACGAAAATTAGACATAACCTGAACTAGTGCTGTGTCTACCTACAATTAGGTCTCGTTAGCCTTACGCGTGATTAGCTAGCGTCCAAATTGGATGATCCAATGCTTTTCATTCCGTTAATGTTCACTCTTTCTAGTTCGTTGACCTTTAGGGACATTGTACGAGAACCCAACCTTAATGTGTGAATCAAGGACAGTGGAGGAAAAAAGTAACGTTAAAAAGTTTATTCAACTGCGAAGTTAACGTTGGCTTTGGGAGGCGGAAAATTGAGTAACATTATTTTTACCGAACCATTAGTGTATAATTTTGGGTATTCGCCCCCATAGTGTATTAATCTACTGAGAAAAAAGTCCTTATCAATATTTTCAGACGCTACTTTGGAATTATTCCCTATGAAAAGATATTAATAAAATCGTACTGTGGTTATGAATGTATAATCGGAAATACGATGAAGTATAACCTCATTTTTGAAATTTAAATAAGCTATAGGTTTTCCGAAAGTTAGGTTTCAAGCTCAAGTTTATATAATTAATCTATTTAGCTTTACTTGATTATCGTCAAAATTCAGACAATTTACATATACAAATCTAATGACTTATACACCATAAATTAACTACTCAGTTCATCAGTGAAATCCACGTGGTAATGCTTTTGATAGTTGATTGCTTTTAGACTCGGTGTTTTATTCAGCAAAATCATAAATTTATTATGATAATTATTCTTTATGCACAATTCTTAAAAAATCCACTTTGTCCCTGGCACTCTGAGATGGGACTCGAACTCATGACTGGGAACCAGGATCTAATAGGACTGATGATTTTTTCAAGCACTTGTTACTTTCTCGCTACTATAGAGCGTATTTTCATCAATGTTAAGGCAATCCACCCAGAGAGCCGAAAATATTTTTACAAATACTTAAACTTTCGACAAAGATGAAAATTTGGTCTAGTTTGATATTAAGCATTTTTCATTAAGAATATTTATCAGTATAGCATTGTGACTCGCTACAGTATAGCAAGATTATTTTTAATATCGCAAAAATAAAGTAAAACATTTCCTTAATCCGACATGACAGCTGTTTTGAATCTTCAAACAATTTTTCTTAATGCATTCAGGATATAAAATAATCTATATTTTTCACCGTTACCATGTGCGATAAGTAGATAGTCCTGACTTGATGTAGCTCGGTCATATTATATATGTTAATTTTCTCCATCTTAATCATATTACGTTAATGAACTGCAGAATTGAGAGCTTAAAGCTTTCCCGTATCAATGGTTGAGTTACATAAGTGCATTTACAATATATCGGTTTTTCTGACCTCGTAAAGTTTGCTATTAGAAAAATAATTAATTTATATCAATTTGATTTCGAACACTGAATAACTTTACTACATGTGCACACCAAATTATCAATTTCATCTGCAATTGGTAATTTGTTAAGATAAGATTATTCATATTTAAAACTAATTTTAAAAGAATATTTTCTAATGATTCTTGTAATACCAAAAGTTATCCCTGTTTGCCTCAAACGCTGCTCTTAGATATTAATCAATGATAACCATTAGTATTTTAAATGACCAAATGTTAAATACAATTCAATAATTCATGTGAATAAAATATTTTTTAAAGCAACAAATTATCTCTCTTTTTACAAAAACGTAAACAGAACATTATATCAAATGCAATTTACAACAGTAAAGAAATTATAAACAAAGGATTGTACCGCATTTGTATTCAAAATAATAGCAAAACACGTAGGCTTGCATATACCTATTTTATCAGCGCATCGTGCGGCTATCTCGCGGAAT